AACAAAAAGCGATATTATATCGTATTGCACCTCAGGTCTCCCCTCAACGAGTATCCCCATTTGGTGCTGGTGCCCAACCCAAGCCCATAAATGCATGGTCTGGGACAACATCCCGTTTGCTTAGGGAATACTCCCAGGTTTGGGTCACTAGACAGCACTGGGGTGTGTGCATGTGGCTTCCTCCATACAGGTAAGTGGGTCAATGGTGCGAGTAATGATGAACTTTTCTCTCTTCTGTGCTTGAAGTGTTTGTGTTGAATCTGACGGCGTTTTCGCTTTTTGCGAGCCAAGTTGCATGTTAATGCGGAATGTCGGTATCATGCCTGTGACGATTGTCATTTTTTTATGGATCTGAACTTGTGGAGGTGTGTTTCTGCACATTCTTTTGCCCACATGCGAGGTGGTCGTTTTTACGATGGCACACTTCGAACATTCTTTGTCCTATGCTTGCTAGAAGATTGGGCTTGTGCCCTGCATTATTTTAATAGCATCATGTAGTCATTGACTTTGTCGGAAAGGGACTTTTAAGTGGCGGGCCTCTAAGGTTGGCCTTTTGTTGTGTAGTGGACAGGGATTGTTCACTGGAGGGCCATTTTCGTTGTGGATTTGTGATTTTACAGTCAGAGTTGGGGTCCGATGATTTCATTGATCTTTGTGTGCACCAGTGTTATTCTTGACTTCAGGAAAACATAATAGGTGAGTACGTGCATTGTCATTGCATGGTTGTGTGACTGTTCAGAGTCCTCCTTTTTCCTTGTTTTGCTTGCGCGTGTGATTTTCTACGCTTTTGGATGAATTGGAAACTTGGTAGATTTTTATTCTTTGTCCGATTTTAATGATTTGAACATTGGGTTTCATCGCTTCTGTGGCCCTTTCTGGTCCAGTAAGGACCGTTAGAATTTTTTTGGTGGCACCTAATACAGGTTACCTGGAGCACACCTTCTCGTGGTGCCCCAAGCTCCTGACAGAGATGCTCCAGGGTACGGACCGAGTCACTGGCGGTATAACCAGTCAACAGATCTCTATCAAGATCTAAAACAAGTCCTGTTAACACGGGATGGGTGGAGGCAGGAGACAGCTTATGCAGAGATATGCTTCGAGACCCGGCTTCTGTTCTCCGTGTCCGTGGGCAAAGGATCTCATCAGCAGGGGACAATGGCCAGGGACTAGCACAGTAAGTGCATTGTTACATAAGCCCACCGTTGTTCCATCAACGTGCTAAAGGGCTGTATGGCTGACACGGAGTCAGTTCTTAACGTGGGTACGTCTGGTCGTGCTCTGAGTTGGCGCTAGGCTATGGACTCTGTGGTTACAATCACAGATATCCCGGCCTCTTCCCTGGTACGAGACTCTGCCTGGGCGACCGTTTATTTCCTACGACCCTTGCAAACCTAGCATGGATGTTTTTAATCAACAGAAAATTCGCAGGAGCTACGGTGTACGTGCTCCCTGCTTGAACTCTAATCAGGAGAATGAAAGGATAGGCAGGGGGGGGGGGGGGGGG